TGCATAAAAATATATTCATATAGATATTGATATGTGTGTGTGTGTATATATAAATATATAAATTTATATTTTATTATTATAGTAAGATCTTACTATCCGTGTTACGAATCCACGTTTTACGTTTTCCCCCTCTCTCGATCTTACGTAGGATCTCGATTTTGACAACTATGCTTGTGTCTAATGAAGATGTTGATTATTCTGTGGTACCAATGTTAGCATATTTACCTTTGTATTATTACAGGTGACAAGGGACATAGTCACTTGCTTTTTCCATGCAGATTCATGTGACATTCATCTAAACCATGGTGCCCTACTGGATGCAATTTGGTCATGGATTGGAGTCAAGGTAGAACATAGACTTAAAGTAGCGGAGGTATGTTAGTTGTTCGATCATGAAACCTGCAGTATTAAGTCTATAAGGACGTAGCATGACATACATTTATTTTTCTGAAGCTTCTTTCAATGATGAGTTCTTTGCGTCCACAATCCTCTGAAAGGAAATCGAAATGGGTAGTGATAAGGCGGCAGCTTTTGCAGGTGAGAAAAATTGTAAAGAAATCTTGTAGATTGGGCTGCAACAACTATTGTTGAGGTTATGTTAGTTTCATTTCAGTAGTAACAATCTTCTAAGAAAACAATTCTCAGATGGAATTATTTGTAATTTAAATGTCTTACCAGGAACTGAATTTAGCAGAAGCTATGGTAAATAGGTTGCAGACAGTAGGTCTAAGATTCTGTGGAGCTGCAGATCTGGCACTTCCCAGATTAAGAGGAGCTCTTCCATCTGGTACTGTCTTTGTAGTTATAGATGCATTATACAATTATTCCATACAGAAGGAGCTTCGTTCTTATTGGAAAGTTGTAAACTACTGCAGATAAACGGACATGCAAGGCACTTGATGAATTGTCTGAGCTCTTGAGTTTTTTGAGAATTTGGAGAATTGACAATAATGTCTACGTAGATGCATTAATGCCACCAACTGAAAGTTATCATCGAGATTTATTTTTTCAGGTAGCATAAATGTTCTTTTAAAACTAAGATATATTACCCCTAATTTGTCATATCAGTACCATTTTTGCACTTTTGTGACAAACACTCCTCACTCCCCTACTAGTGACTTTTCTGTTATAAATATAACAATAGGAGACTTGGAGTGATATGTAGGTAATATGCACTAACATATGCATCACTTGTATCCATTAATTTGTTGTGTTAATAGAATAGGAACTTTATTGAGCCCTTTAAAACATTAGAGTGCAGTAGGCTTAAGTTCTAGACCTTCCTCTGCTAAGTCAACAGAAGTGGTTAGGCTTTATGGACAGCTGTCCTAACTGACAGCTTCTATATAAGCTTAGCCTCTCTTGTAACCAATCTAACTAATCATTTCAATTGAATCAGAGAATTTCAGAATTCAATTACTCTTTATATTATCCCTTCTCTACCTCAGTTTATATATCTTACACTACTTCCTAGACATTACACAACAGTTGACGATTTACTCGTGCAAAGACATTATTAATCTCTTGGGTTTAGTTCTTCTTACACATCAGTTTGCCAATGATTGAACTTGAATCTATCAGTCTACTAACCATGTTTTTCTTATCATGTATTTGCACTCATTTGGTGCTTTCTGTAATTCTTAACATCCTATTTTGCATATGAAAAAGAATATCGAAATGACATTGTAACATGTTGTAAATAATATAGAAAATGCACTGAAATCCTAAGTTTTCCTACCTTTTATTATATATTTTTTATGATATGCTTTTGCTACATTTATCAATTTAGTTAGTTGGCCATCATGTAATACTTGTAAAATAAATTTATCCCTGTTCCATAAACCTGTGCATTTCAATTGATAATGAACTAGGCCGTTCTTAATATTTGAAATATTTATGTTGTGTGATGGTTCTTGAAATTGCATATCAAGGATGCCGAAGGGATAATATATGTATGTTTGATGATCCTGATGGAGTTGAAATTTTCTTGGAAGGTATACCTAAGGAAGGAGAACAGTCCTGGATCACTCTCTGAAGGTGCCTTGCTGGCTGTTGGTGGTCGGTATGACTATTTGCTTAATCAGTTGTGGAGTCGTGACCATGTAGGTTATGCATACACATGTTTTTTTCTGATTAGCTATCACCATCAACATACATTTACTAATGCCAACCTTTTTCTCTGAACATATTTTTGTCAACTGTAACTGCTGAGTTCACGTGTTTCACTTGCCTATGCCTCAGTTTTCGTGTTTGCTTCCTGCTTGCAGTCTGAAGACAACTTATAGTTTTGTGTGCGTATATTTTATATTATTATAATTGCTTGTCTTCTTCATTATCCAGAAAGGAAATCCTCCCAGCGGTGTGGGGACTAGCCTTGCACTAGAGACAGTAATTCAGAATTGTCCTGTAGATTTTAAGCCCATCAGGTTAGTGTTCTTCAACTAGTGCTCTCCTTGTTATTTTTACTTTTTATAAACTCCTCGACACTCATGTTATTGTAAATGCTGGTATTAGTTGAGTGATTGAGTCTTATCGATTCCAGATGATACTAACAGATTTAGATTGTAATTAGGACTGATTTACTTGCTGAAGTAGGTTGTTCAATCTCTAAATTTTAGGGATATGATTTTTTATACAGTAAATGAAATAAAATTATAAATACATTAGTTGTGATGGTTCGCACTCGAATCCTGCAAATCAGAAAACCTCTCTTTGAAGTATATGAATACAGCACTTAGTCGGATACTTTCCCAACTGTTTCAGAAATGAAGCCAGCGCCAGCATTCTTGTCTGTTCAAGAGGAGGAGGTGGTCTGCTGGTACAGCGGATGGAACTAGTTGCTGATTTATGGGATGAGAACTTTAAGGTTGAGATATCCGAACAACTTTAATCTGCATAATTGAGAATTATAACTTAAGCTTCTGCTCACTAGTCTTTCATGTCACCAGGCTGATTTTGTTCCCACCCGTGATCCAAGTCTTACAGAGCAGTATGAGTATGCTTATGAACATGATATCAAATTTCTTGTCATCATTACAGATGCAGGTGTTTCACAAACAGGTTCTGTTAAGGTAATGTGTAATGTAAATGTTCTCCAATGCACTGTCCCATAGTGGTTTCTATTGAAATTTACATCGTATACCTCAATCTTAGGGAATTTAGATTCCAAAAAACTGTGTTGACTACACCATATAAAACCTCAAGAAACTTTGTGAGTGCTTAGTTAGTCATAGGGTTGGAAATGAACTGAACCAACTCGGTATTCGTTCGAAACTCGACTCGTCATTTAGCTTGATAAACTTGGCTTGGAAATTGAGCTCGTTAAATAAACGAGTCGAACTTGAGCTGGATACAGTTATACACGTTAGGTTCATGAGTTGGCTCTATATATATAATGTTATTTTTAAAAATAAATTAATTATTTGAGTTGTTCTGATGAACTAATTCGAACTGAACCGAACATTTCGCGAAATTTATTCGAGCCGAATTCGTGCTAAAAAATTAACTTGTATCAAACTCGAGTCGAGTTTCAAGCTAAGTAAATCCTTATCGAGCTAAACTCTGGTTCGACTTGGTTCGGCTCGTTTCCAGACCTAGTTATTCAATTTGAACTAGGTCCGAGGGTGGAGTTGAAAGATCTTATGTAATAAACTCATCATCCTTTTTTTCTTTTTTACTGGTCAATCCTAGAATTATCAACATTCAATGATAGTTGTGTTTTTTTCCTTGAATTCTTGATATGGTAAACATATCAATGCTCTTAAGCTGTTGTTAATATGTAATGATAATTTTATGAATGAAGGCTTGCATCAGATATCTAATAAATTCATTATAAGTAAGCATGAGTGCATGACCAACATGAAAGCATGTAATATTAACTTATTGTAATCAACTCCAGGTTCGACACCTTGAGCTAAAGAAGGAGAAGAATGTTGAGAGAGAAAACTTAATGAAGTTTCTGGTGGATGCTATGACAACACAATTTAGAAACCCCTCCATTTGGGTTTGATCATGTTGTGATTAGAAGCTCAATTTGTTTTGCCTCTATATTAATAGATTTTGAGAGAAAGCAGATTATCAAAAATGTAGAAATCATGTACATCAGTTTTGCAGCATTATTTGATTTTTTTTGTTTTTTATATAAAAAAGTAATGCCTATTTTGTTTTTGTTGGTGCATAGTTGTGATGATGTAATTCACCAAAAAATAGTTATGATGTAAATACTAAATAGTGTATAATTCGTTTTGATACATTTATGGGTTAGTTATGGATGAGTTTAGAACTATGGAAATTATATTCGTATTTGTTTAGTTTTTAAGATTATATAGTGCATTTGATTATTAAACTTTGATAGCTGCTGAAATTCAAAGTTATATCAACTTATTTCAGCTGGACTATACATTTTATTTTGTTTTGTTTTTGCTAACCCCAAACATAAAAGAAAGGTCACAAGCCTCCTATTACATCAAGAATTCAAGATGAATTCCATTGCCACACACTACATCATCTAAAACGCTAGTGTTGTACAATTTGGCCCAATAATTAGAAGAGAAAAAGATGTATTTGCTTACACACTATGAGTTTTATATATTATTACCGTATTATACACCATTTATGTAGTTTTACACGTCACCTGCATAAATGTTACAGTCTAATGCAATATTATGGTCACAAATAAAACAAACGATAATTACAACACACCTGAAATAAATATTGTACAAGCCAATTACGTTATTCTAAACCAATAAAATCAAGGACGTTGAGAATGGTGTATAGTTCAATTCCTCTTCGAAGTAAAATTAGAAGCTATATATGTGGTTGATTTTAGAATGGAGCAACTCATCCTACTCTTGCTTCTATTTATAAAAAGTTAAAGTAGCAAAATATGATGAAGCGAATATACAATTAACACTGCAAAACTCATCAACAGCTTTGGAAATCTTTCTATAAAATGTGAAAAGGAGTTACGTAGTTACTAGTTTATGAAGTATGAAAAGAAGTACGAATTGGCCCTTATAGCTCAGTGGTAGAGCGTCAGTCTTGTAAACTGAAGGTCCGTAGTTCGATCCTGCGTGAGGGCATTCTTTTTTACATTAATTATTATATTCATGGGAAGGATGGAGAAACGTTAATGAAAAACCCATACATGTATGTATGTGTTGTATATATTTATTAATATATTATATTATATTATATATGTGGAACCTTATAACGTCCCAAATTAAAGTATACAAATCCAACTAAACTACTTAAGCTTGTGACAAGTATGGAGAATTTAGGTACAATAACTTTCGGGAAAGTAGTAGGAGTTGCGTGCTTCTCATTTTCATTGCATTGCATTTGCATGGTTTAGATTTCGAATTTGTCTCTACTTATCTTCCACAAACCACCATAATCCTCATTTCTTATCCCTTCTTTTTTTATAATATTATATTATGTACCCCATTTTGTGTTACTCCATGCACTATATTCTAATTGTTTTTTTACTTTGTCCACACATTATTCATTATTGACTCTCAAATAAAAAATAATATAAATCAATTGCCGATGATGAGTCAGTATAAGAAAGTTTACATTGACAATATATATATTAAACTATCAATATATATTATTAGTTTTCCTACCTAACTAGCAAGTGTAGCATTTCACTTTTATGAAAAGGATATGGTTAGTTAGATACAGTGACCACCACCGATGAAAAAAACAATTGTCTTCACAAGAATTTTAGTCAACATTATGAATGTTACCCAAATATCTCTCCTGATTAATACTCATGTCATAATATAAAAATATTAAAATTTGGAAAGTGAAAACAAATAAGGTAATATAAGTATTTCCATTTCTTATATTTGTTTCCGTTTATAATAGACGTAATTACAGTATTACTCTTTTCGTCAGATTCCTTTCTATTTTTAAGTGATAAATTGCAATAAAAAATTTGATTTATAGTAAATTACACCGACATCCTTGAGTTTTAGTGAAATTACACAAATCATCCATTCTTTTTTACATATACAAACCCCCCTGATTTTTATACATAAATTATACTAATCACCATTATATGTGAAATAAGTGTGCTTTTTTAAATAAAAAAAGATGATAAGTGTAATTAAGTTAAACAAAATATGATATATTATGAAGATAAATCCAAATAGTATATAAATTAATACATTTTCATTATTTTTTGTTTATTACAAAATACATCAATAATTCTAAATATATATTATTTAAATAACTCTTATACCATATTATAAAAAAAATAATGAACATGTATTTTTTTGTTTCTATAATATATTATATTTTGTTTATTTTAATTACATTTATCATTTTCTTTTATCTAAAAAATCACTTTTGTTTCACATGTAGGATAGTAAGTGTAATGCATGTTTATAAATTATAGGGTTTTTATAGATGTAAAAAATGGAGGGATGATTTGTATAATTTCACTAAAACTCAGGGGTGTCTATAATTTACTATTTGATTTATTAATTTAAATTTTTCCTTTTTAAATTTAAATAATTTTTTTTCAAGTATGACAGATTCATGAGACAAAAAAAGACTTGATAAAAAACAAATAAGACAAGATTTCTTACGGGATAAAATAAAAAAGTTACTAACAATGAGAAAATCATATCTATATAGCATAAGTAATTCAGAATCTTTATCAACTTTATCCTTTACTAGCATTTTTCTCATTGACTAATGTGATCTATCAACCTGTTTATTTTAGAGGAATGAATTTTATCAGCATAAATTAATACCACATAAATAAAAGTTATACAATTTTTTATAATATGACATATCAAAATTCTTATTATTGCTAAAATAGATTTAATATTTACATATGAAGAATATGATAAAGATAATCCTTAATAAGCTAGGGTAAAATACTAAAATTGTTAGGTATCAGTGATTACAATACACCTAGAAGGGGGGGGTTGAATAGGTGTAGCGGTTAGAGTGTCCGCTTTTCGAAAACAACACTTAATGCTGAAAAACACCTTGATTAATCGATTAACAGAACAGGATAATCGATTAACACTTTCAACACAGTCCACGTAATCGATTAACAGATTAAAGTAATCGATTAACACACCACACTTAATCGATTAAACCAAGACAGAAAGCAAATGCAAGTACAGTTTCTTGCTCGACAATTAATTGATAATGAAACGATTATACCAGGCTTACAGAATATTATCAGAGTACAAGTAAAACAGTATAGACACTACTTATCAATTAAATCTACTTGACAAAATAATCGATCAAATGCAATAAAGAGATAGAGATAGAAAAAGTCCTGCAACAAGAATTTTATCCTGGTTCGTTTGCTTGTCCACCGCAAACTACATCCAGGCCTCCCGGCTGATTTGGGAGATTTTTCTTCACTATAATTGAATGAATGTTAATTACATACACACTATCCAATTACAACAATTAGACACTTACAAGATAAAAAGAAATCTATTCTATGGTTTGACTCCCTTCCTACCGACAAAGAAAACCTTTCTTTCGGCGTAGCCCCAGCCAAGAACCTTGTTCTTTACTTATCCCTAAGTCTAACACTCAGTGAAGACACACTCAATCTCTTGGTGATATGACACCTTGAGATTCCCACAATTACAACACTTTTTCAAACAAAACAATACAGAGTAAATTTAAGCTATAACAAGACTTATATCTAACAAGATAAGGCTTTACTCTAATCACCTAATACAAGCTCATGCAGTATGAAAAATGTATTAGTGAAAAACAGAATGCATAATGTGTAAACATCTAATCAAGAATCATGTAAAAATGCAAGAACATGTGACAAGAAAAGATGAGAAATGTATCATGAAAAGCACTCAATCCTAAAGCATAGAATTCTCTCTTTTCTAAGCTCACAAATGCATTTACAACTAGATGCAACAATTAACACGAAAATATGCTCTAACTCTCTAAAAATTTAACATGCAACTTATGAGATCAATTCTGAAAATGCAGTTTATAAAGAATTGAAATAAAAGCCCAGTTAATCGATTAACGACAGCTTTAATCGATTAAGCTTTACAAAAATGTTAGATTAATCGATTGACATTTGTTGTAATCGATTACACTGTGCAAACAGTTAGATTAATCGATTAAGCCAAGTGGTAATCGATTAACAGCACACTTTCATGTGTAAAAAACTTCAAATATGTTATGCACTTAAATTCATACATGTTTAATACTTAGATTATGCCTAGAATGCACATGTACATGTATTTATATGATGCATGAACATATTATGAATGACATATCTCAAGATGAAAAAGATTTAAAAGATTTATGCAATTGAGATATGTATTAGGTGACTTAAGCCTTGGACTCAACCTAAACTAATCTAGTCTAAGCAAGATACCAATCGGAAGGCTTAAGCATGTTGATTTGTTGATGATCTTCAAGCTCATGTTAGCACAAGTTGTCCTCATCAAAACCAAGTCATATAAGGAGAGCTTTCCAAAGTGTTCCTCTTGACATGCACACTTTCAATCTCCCCCTTTTTGATGATGACAAACTCCACATCAAATGTAAATAGCTTGAAGATTGTGTTGGCAAGGTTGATATGATGCGCAAATATCGGAAGCTGTTATTTCGATCAACCTGCACAATCAGAAAACAAACAAAACAACCTTTCTCCCCCTTTTGACATTATCAAAAAGATAACCCAGGTCAAAATAGAGGCAGAGATATGAGTAATGCATAAAACACAGTTAATGAGTTAATATTGGGATATAACAATTAACCTGTTTTACATTAAAGAGGATTAAACAAGTGCGCAAGTTTATACAACAGAAATAGCCAAACAAGTAAAGTGAACAGCATACGAGATGAACCATATCAAGGCCGAAAATCTCATACGATCAAGAACCATACACATAAACATAGTAGGCTATTCGACATAGTTAAAAAAAATAGCAGAAAGAGTAACAATGTTTAGCAACCAGATAAACCAGAAAATGTCAATTAACAACATAAAGAGGCACGCAACAGAAATACTCGAATCCATAACAGTATCTAAATCCAAAGAGTGCCAAAAAGAAGAAATAAACCTAAGGTAAGATATCCTAGGCCTAAAGTCTTCTAAACTAAGGTTGAGGTGGAGGATGAGGATCGTCAGTGTGATCAACAGAAGTGACAATGTTCTGATCTCCCCTGATAAGCATAGATAGCTTCTGAAATTCTGAACAAAACAAGGCATTCTGAGCTTCAGCCGTAGATTGAATCAAACTCCTCAACTCCCGAAATTGGGTATCCGAATACGCAGTTTGTCGCTCCTCATACTGTTCCATACCAGCAAAGTATGAGTCTTTTAGTCCTTGGAAGTGAAGATCCATACGGTTGTTAAGCCGTTGCTCCATAGCTTCCAACTGATCGAATCCAAAAGCAGATTTCTGAGGTGCTGATCCAGAAGGCTCCCCCTGAGCTGTAGCATGCTGATTATCTGTGTCATCCTGATTATCATCATCAGATAAATCCAGACCAAACGTGGTGTAGTCCTCTTGGTATTGCCAAGTACTACCATACTTGTATATACCCATCTTATGTATGAGGCTTTCACCAACCAGATGATCCTTGTCGGTATATTCAACAATGATAGTATCGGAAACGTCAATGCGCAAATAGTCAACGATGCGTGATATGAAGATACTGTAGGGAAGCAGCTTCGACTGAGATAAAGATACACTGTTCATAATTTTCAAGATCTCCTCAGGCCAATTAATCATCACATTATTCTTCACTGCATACATGAAGCGTAAATCATTCACAGTAGGCTGTGCATGATTTGTGTTCCTCTGTACTAGGATGTAAGCAATAATGTAGTGTAGCAGCCTGTTCTCAACAGAAAGTGACCCAGCTTTGGTCAGTTGACCCTGAATGTATAAATGAGGGCCTCTTAGAAAAGACTTGTAGACTTCTGTAGGATCAAAATTTTCCTTTACCCAGGAACAATCTCCTATACTATATCCAGAAGACGATAAACCACCGACATTCATGAAAATTTCATCGTTGAGTTCAAACAAATTTCCAGAAATCATTGACCAATATTTTCCATCCTT